AATTCTCTGAAATTTTCAGAGTGGTAAAATTTTTCTTTCTTTTTTTTTTTAATGAAGAAAAAAATTTTTTTTTAAATGTTTGTTTTTCGTTATACCGCTCTGAAAAAAAAATAGAAAGAAAAATTTTATCACTCTGAAAATTTCAGGGAATTTGCAAAAAATATTGAAGTTTTTTATAAAAAAGAAAAATCGAAAATCGAAAATGTCAATCATCCCGAAATTTTCGTTTTTTTCCAAAAAGTTGAAAAAAAACATTGAATATGAACCCGAATTATTATTTTTATTTTTTTTTTTAAGTACATTTAAAGACAAAAATTTCAAAAAAAAAAACATCCCAAAAATTCAATTTTCAAAAAAGTTATGGTTATTTAACAAAAAAAAGCTGTTTTTTTGTAATAACTCGTAACTTTTTTTTGGTTGGGTAAAAAAATTTGAAAAAATTCTGAAAATTGTTTTCAATAGGGTAGAGAAAGATACCAAAATTTCAGAAAAATCGAAAAGGGTCGGTGTCAAAAGTGGTCGATTTGGCATGGAATGCCCCATATACATCACAAATATATCTAATATCATATATACGAAATATATATGAAAAATGTATGTGGGTACTCAAACAAAAGGTCTCGATGAGCATAACATCAAGATGAGCTTATATCTTCATAAATGTCAATAATTAAAAAATGACCTTGTATCTTGTGAACTATTAGCATTTTCAAAGATATAAGCTCACTCCGACATTACACTCATCGAGACCTTTCATTTGAGTACCCACATCAATTTTTCATATATTTATATATATTATATATATGTATATATGGAAAATATATCAAAATGCATGTGGGTACTCAAATGAAAGCTCTTGATGAGTGTAACATCGGGATGAGCTTATATCTTCAAGAACGTCAATAGTTAAGAAAATACAGTGCAACTTAACAAAAGTAATTATTTAATAAAGCAAAATTGTCTTTATTTATAGCTCACAAATCACGGCAGTCACATAGTGACTGCAAAGTTGCTAGTAAAACTTAATTAAGAAAATTAAAAAAAAATTTTTTTGATTAAATTTATTTTAAAATTAAATAAATAATTATCTTACGTGGATAAGCTCTGTAAGCACCAGGACTATTGTCAAGTATAAAAACTGACGTTAAGTCAGAACAAATAGCTGCTAAGTCCTTAGTATATGATCCCATTTCAGGAGTGCAGTGTTGTCTGTAATATCTACGTCTAAGAATGCCACGATTGTTGTCCAATTTATCAGCAACTGCAGCTCCATATATTTCCATTGATGCTGTAAACACTACCAATTCGTACCTGTAATAATTAAATAATATTAATTAAAAAAATTTTACACTCTAATTAATATATTCAATAGTTTCATTACTTCGAATACTCAACTATAGAGAAAAGACAATTAAAAAAAAATTTTTTTAGCAGTACGAACACAAATTAAGTTACTTTAATTTTTGATTTTGTAGTTAAGAATTTTTTTTTTTTTGTTAGTAATATATTATTCAAATGTACAAAAATTATTACAATATATTGAATTGACTTTATACTTACCATTGACTTACAATATCCAAAAAAAAGTCAACATGCGGTCTTTTGTGGACGAAAAATCTAACAGGATGCCGATCAATTGTCACCTTTAGTACAAAATCAGGTGGTGTACCAGGTCTAACTGTTGGTCTTGCTACTCCATCATGATGTGAATGGATCAATGTTTCATCTAAATCTAATACTAAAACTTTTCTCTTCACTATACCTGGAAAAATATTATTTTATTAATTGCTTACCGATTTTTGGACATTTAATTAAATAATAAGAATTATTTAATAAATTTTTAATTATAAAAAATTTCATAATATAATTTAACATACTTAATCGATGTTTTGATAGAGGTGACAGTGGAAATATTTCATATTTAACTGGTTGCATCTGTGAAATCTATTTAAATATAAATTAATTAGATATTAAAATTGTTAAAAAAAAATTACATAGAAATATATTGAAGATTTTATCGAATTTAAATAATTTTTAATTCATAATTCTGAAATTGAATTATTTGAATAGATTTTTGTAATAAAAATTTATAATATTTTTATAGAAAATATAAGAGCTACTTAAATTTTTTTATATTTACAAAATTTTTAATATTTTTAAATATTATATCGAGAGATGAATAATTGAATTTAAGGCTTCTTTACAGAAATAAAAGTCATAGAAATAAATCACTTCGTAATGAAACATTAGATCACAATGTTAAATAATTACTTAAAAGAAAAAAAAAAAAAAAAAAGTAATGACAATCTATTGAATTATAATTAAAAAATAGAATGTCTATACTAATATTATAAACAGGAAAAATTTGATTGTTTGTTTGTTTGTTTGCATTCAATAGGCTCCAAAACTACTGAACCGATTTGAAAAATTCTTTCACTGTTGGGAAGTAAAGCTACACTATCTCCGGGTGACACAGGCTATATTTTATTATTATTAATTTTGAAAATTTGGGCAATTAACATAAAGCTGAACAGGCAGAAAAAATCTTTTTAAAAATTGATTTGTTACCAAAGACTAATACCTAGTATTTTAATAATAATAATAAGTGGAATTGTATCTGCAGCTTGTAAGGAAAAATGTTTATAATATTTAAAAAATATTTAAAAATAACTTAAATGTTAATGCTTTGTAAAACACAAAAATGTGATACAAATAAAACTCTTATCTATCTTAATTTTGAAATTTTTGTTAAATACTCGTGCGAAGCTATGGTGGACTGCTAGTAGTAGATAAAGAGCAGAAATTATCAATTTTTTTTTTTTTTCATTTTTTTCAAAACTATTGAACAGTGAAAATTAATTTTACTGAAAATTTCATCTGTCCTAGGTCAAACTTAAGAGCAAATCGATTAATAAAGACAATTAAAACTACCAAGGGTTATATATATAATAGCCCGAGAAATAGGATCGCTAATCTAGTCAATGATAATTGCTCAAACCTCGAATTATTCGACACTTCGATCACATCGTTTGTATCATCGGTTAAGAGACCGCTTCTAACCAATAACCACTAGCCTCTTAAAAAGTGCAATTTCATTTCATCTTATAATAATTACTGTTAGAGATATTTTTTTTATGATTCTAATAATTGAAACGTTTAAAGAGAATGAAATTGATTTAATTTAATTTAATTGAAATTTGATTATATTGAAATGTTATTACTTTATTTTTATTTTCTTTTTTCACCTATAACTAAATTTAATTGATGTATACAGCCGATTGGCGTTTGAATAAATAAATAAATAAATAAAATTTAAATATTCTTGATTAAAAAAAAAAAAAATGATTTAATTCGTCAAACGAGTAATTTACTAGCTCAACATATTCGCGGTAAAAAAGTAGTATATATAAACAAAATTAATCAATATTTAATATAAATTTTCAATGAGTTGAAAAATTAAATTATTATAGTGATAATAAACAATAAAAAATTTTATGATTCCATAATATTGATAAAATTACATGTATAAGTTCAATGAATAAGAAAAAAAAATGAAAATTTTTTTTAATCGAACTATAGAATTGTAAGTTAATTATACATCAAATTTTTTATATTTTCTTTCAAAAATTTTTAAAAGTATTATTTATGCTATTTGTACGATTTATTCGATTATTATTACATTTATAAAATAATATTACTATTATTGTTGTTAAACTAATGTAAATTGCAGATGACGTTAAAAATAATAAATAAATAAATTATTGATAAATTAAAAAAAAAAATTGTCAAGCTCTACTGTAAGCTAACTCAAACTTTTAATCAAACTTTTCCAGGTAATTCTTTTGAAATAATTCAAATTAATAATAACTGCTCTCGAATCATTTCTAACGAGCTGTCGGAATTATTAGCACTACTCCCGCTGGCTGCATCATCTTCGGTAGTTTTTTCTCGATTTTGATTAGATGTGTCATCTAATTGCCAGCTTGGAATCGAGGGTGGTGCGCTTGGAAATTGTTTACGAGACAAGAGTAAACCTTTTAAACTAGCTACATCAGTTTTTAATTCTTGTACTAACAACGGTACTGAAGGGTCTGACATATCATTGCACGTTATTTTATCAACTTTTTCTTCAAGTTTAGCCATTGATTTTTTCATCTCTTTCATGTCCTTCAATAATTCTTCATTTTTATCCACAGGCTTGATTGGAGATTTTTTACTTTTGAATAAAAGTGGCTCAATAAATTTCTGTAATAAAATTGAATTAATTAAAATCAAGAGTTTTGTGAGATTAAAATAGTTAATATTATTCGAGAAGCATTGAGTTTAGTATGAATAATTATTTTTTTGATAAGATCAGTGATTATTAAAATTCATATTCTTGCTCATTATATCTGTTTTTATGATTAATGAATTAGTACTAAGGAATTAGACAATAATTACTGATGATGTACTATAAATTAATCTGATAATTTTTTTGAATATTAAAAATCAAGTATTTTAGCACAATGTAATTAATTTTCAAATACTAATGATGGTTTTTTTAATGATTAAAAAATTTTTTTTAAAAATAATTACCGACTTTTTTTAAAGGTAAATTTTTATTTTTATTAGATAAAAAATAAAAAATTAATTTTTTATTAAATTAAATCAATAGGAAAATATTTTAACACTTTTTTATAATAGAAAATTAAAATTAGCACGTTAATAAATAATAATAATTTTTTAGAACAAGTATGAATTATTATTATTATTATTATTATTATTATTATTATTATTATTATTATTATTATCGATATTATTAAGAGAGTAAAAAAATTTTGTTTCCCGGATAGTCATATGATAAAATTGGTTTTTTTTTTTTGGTGAAATTTAGTGTCATTGCAAAGATCTAAACTTGAATTTGTGCCTTTTCAAGGTTTCTTATCATTCTCACCGATAGTCAATTTATTATGATAAGTATTTAGGCTGCATTTGAGAATGCTCTATCTTTAGATACATAATTAAGAAATTACCTTTTATCTTGTGAAATATTGACATTATTAAAGATATAAGCTCATTTCGATGTTACACTCGTCGAGACCTTTCATTTGAGTACCCACATCAATTTTTCATATATTTATATATATTACATATATGTATATATATGAAAAATATATCAAAATGCATGTGGGTACTCAAATGAAAGCTTTTGATGAGTGTAACATC